GCATAATATTTTCCCATGGAGATAATTTTTAAAAGCTTTGGCTTGCACAGAGAAGGAATACTGTGCGCTTTTTGTTATTACTTTAACTTGTTCAATCTCTAAACCGCAGAGATACCTCAGAGGTTCATTAGAAATTCCCAAACCCAGAAAGAGGAAGGTCCCAATAAAAACAAACGAACCAAACCAGATCCTTTAGGAGTTGCATTTTGAAGTTTTGACTTCCTGATTCTAAGGAAGGATCATATTTTAGTTGCAAAATAATAGTCGACGTAGCTTAGAAAACACCATCATTAAAATAACGAATCCCTTCCAAGTCTGTCAGTAGTACTGGCCTGCACTAGTATTCGGTGAGATTCTAATACAAATTGTAAATGAGGAAAAGTCCCATCCCCAAACCAAACCTTTACATGAAAACTTTTCTTAGCCTAACACTTTTGCTTTCCTGTTTGTAATTTGTTTCTCTGTTGTTTCATTAAATGTAGTCAATGGCTCAGATTACGTGAACAATAAGGGAAAATCTTGTCCTTCCTCTACAAATAAATAATCTTTTAGAAAAAGATTTGTCTTCATCTCTTTGCTGAGGCTCAATTATTAAGTATGAAGGTCATTTTTCTCTGTCTCTCTGTCATCTTCCCGAACTAGTCATCGTATGATATGTGGCTGATTCCACTGGTTGTCACTGCTGTAGTTTTGAGTTAAGGAAGAAAATATCCAGTGAACAATTCAACTCTCGGTTCCTAGAAAGTTCATCTCCTAAGAACACAAATTGTTGAAAAGCACTTTGGTGCCAGTTTTTACAAAACACATATATCTGGATCACATAGGTTAAAAATATCTGTTCAGTCCTATGTCATAATTGAAGAAAACTTTTAAGAAGAACAAATTGAAAGAGCCATGAGAAAAAAAAAAAAACCACTCTGACACAAGTTAAGAATTTCTGTAGTACTGAGACAATGTGGAAGTTTTCACAGTGTGTGTCCAGAAAAGCTCATGGAAAATGGTTACCTGCGTGGGCCTCTCCCTCCCTCCCTATCTTCATGAGGTTTCATAGCTGTCCTGTTATACCCAGAATAGCAAAAGCTAAGATCAAATATTTTCTCTTTCTCAAATATTAATGCAACCGAAAGGTATTCTCCATACCAAGACCATATTTTAAACTTCCTCAAAATTATTACCTTCATACTATCTCAGATAATATTTTTCCCCAATGAAATTATTATCAGCTAATATGCATGAATTCCTAGACTAGCAACTCAGCATCTGACTCTCATGCCCTTCTTCCTCTAAATAAGAGAATGACTTTAGTATAATCTATCATTTTGAGAATATAAAAGAGGCACAAAATTAACCTTAACCTCTAGGGAAATAGCAACCAGTAACTGCTATTTTAGTTTATATATCACCATGAAAACAAAATAAAACAAAAACAAAAGTAAAAAAAAAATACAGAGAAAACTGATACTTTTCTTTTCTTTCTTAACACTTTCTTTTTCCCGGTGTCTCTCTAGTCTTCAGGTGGTTTTACTCCATTTACTTCTTTCTTTCAAATCATAAGTGTATAAAATAGAGGAATTCACCAAGTGAATTGAAGCTATCTTCCAACATTATAATACCATGTTTTTTATATAAAAAAGTTAAAGAATTTCTACATATTTGGAAATTAGTAATTTGAACAAATCACTCTTTGATACCCAAAAACTAACAAAAATAAATGTAATCCTTATTACTGTTTCTCATTAATATTACCAACTGGGCTACTGCATATGAAGTGTGGATAAATTAGACTCCAAGGCACGAATTAAAACGTGCTGTAGAAAGCCTTTTAAAAAGCACTGATACCATGGAGTGCCCATGGAATTTGTCTCCTTCAGCAGTATCTTTTATTGCCTTAACATTATTTATAGGGGGAGAGAAGAACAATGTCTGTCAATTATTTATTAATATTAAAATATTGATGAGCATTACCTAAAAGTCACGGTCTTCCAGCTGGTGTACTGGATTGAACTGTGCTGAAATGCAGCCAGCATGAGAGGCATGTATTAAAAGAGCAGAACAAATGACTTAACAGGGGCCTAAAAGCAGCCATCAGAAAAGGTTCATTTAACATAGAGATGGCACAAGCTTCGAGCAATTGCCTCTACTTAAGTAAGTGTGGAATTACAAAAGGCTATTTATTACAGTCCAACAGGGCCCCCGCAGCTTGCTCAAAGACCTTTGAAGAAATTCAACAGTTATAAAGTTCTGCTCGTACAGAAGCAGTAAAATTTGGGCAGACCCCCAAAGAGACTGCAAAGTTCTCATTAAAAAGTTAATAACCATCTTTGTCACAATTGTTCTTTGAAATGAATTGTTTTCTCTTTTGTGTTTTAAAGGAGAGATGCTATACCTGGTTATTTTCAAAACTTCTTTGAAAATGTATTTGAACCATTAGGAAGCATAAGTGAGTTTCATGGTGGTACGAAATTAAATGTAGGGGCTTCATGAGTTTGACAGCAAAGTGTTCCAATATTATGCTTCTTTAAAATGCTCTGTGAGCACACATTGTCCAACTCGATTAATGGATTTGCTTCAGCAGAAAAATTAGTGGAATTTCTACATTATTTGTTCAAAAGCAAAATTTAGTTCTAAAGACATTAGGAATGGAATTTTTTTTATTAGCTATTAGGTAACGAATTGATATTTTTTAAGTATTAAGTATTTAAGTATTAAGATAAGGAAAAAGAAAATAGTTCTTTAAAATTTAACATATCTGCTCTTTATTTATAACTCAATGATATGTTTGTAAGCATTAAACATGTTTATAAAACTTGAACTAAAATATCATGAAAATAACTTATTTTTTTCTTGGAATTAGCCTCAGAGCAGCTAACAACAGGGATGGGGAGAGCAGTGAGGCTAATTTGAAATTAAAACAGAAGAGTATTGATGACATAAAAGATAAATGATGTAGGAATATTAATTGCTAATGGGATCAAAATATGAATAAGAAAATGAAATAATTTGCCATTAGAAAAGCAGCACCTACATTTTCCCTTGGCAAAAATCAAGTCATTATTGCCACGACATTGGAGTAGCAATGCTTTATTTTAAAAGAGTTCCATTTGAAAATCTTACAAATAATAGAAACAGACAATAAGTATATTTATTGTAATCGATTCTACCTTTTGGTTTATATTTTTTATTAAAGTGGCAGAAAGCTAACATAATGGAAGCTCTATTTTTTTTTTAATTGTCAGAGGATGAATGAATTTGTAAGAGAAGGTGTTTGTGCCCCTTCCCCTCAATGATCCCCATGGGACAATGTCATGCTAGAATCCCTTTTCCTCCATTTTCTCTCTGACTGGGATTATTTATTTATTTATTTATTTATTTATTTAAGAGAGATTTTTACTATAGGGCACATGCACTCACCAGAGAGACAGAAAGACAAAAAGTGAGAAATCACCCCCTGGGGAGATGGCTATACCACAACCCCTTCTCCATTCTCCTTTTGAGATTCTGGGGACACACACATGCCCAGCATGAGTTTTAAGCTGCTAGGTCCAATCATGTATGTGGGAGTTCAGCAACATCACCATTACCCCATCTGCTGATCCCATAGGACATGCATGCATACATGTATAGTGTGTTTTTCAAGCACCAATGGCCAGCATCTGAAGCATGGTCAGCCATGTGGGATTCAGCTTTTCATGAATAGGACTTAACCACTGTGCGATGGAGAGCTGACCCTAGAAGCTATATTTTTATGTGAGCACTAAAAATGAGAGTTTTATCCATAAGAGCAGTTTGAATTAGAGAATAGATGCAAAAGCCATTGCGATGATCATATAAACATCAAATAGACAAATATGGAACATGTACTGTAAGCTGCTGGGGAGATATGGGTACATAGGGTTCGGATTCTCATAGTCCTTGATTTGAAAAAGAGTATGAAAACATAGTTTCTTTAACAATGAAAATAATTCAACATCTGATGCTTCTAAAAATTCCTGAGTTTTAGTTTGTGTTTATCATTTGCATAGCTGTATTCCATTAGGACAGGGTGCCATTAAAGTCCAAGGACACAATTTGACCGGCTAACGTACCAAAACTGAGGTTGGAAACTAGAAATACCTTGATGAATTTTGTGTATTTTTTTCCTTTTGTAATAGAAGGAAGATAAAAATCACTTACATATTTAGTCTTTAGCTAGAAATGAAGGTGACCATATGATATCTAATCCAAACCAAGTGACCATTTTATGTGTTCTATATACTTTGGATGATGTATAGCAAAATGTAGTAAATATTGAGTTACCATCAAATAAGATACCTCCAAACATATCTGGATATTTGTAGTACAGATAGCAGTCATTTCCATGTACTTCTTATTAAACGTGTTTTTAAAATAATTTTAAAGTAGAAAGTTGTTGTTTTTGATATGTATTTTTGTTCATGACAGATCGTTGTCAGAAGTTGAGTCCTACTGTAATATGTCCTAAATCCTATTTATTTTATAATACACTAAATATTATTATTACCTATGGATACCATGGGCCTCCTTGTGCATAATGGATTCCAGTCCTCTTACGGAGTTGCATATGAAAATGTTATCAATGAGCTGAAGAATCTGGCATTAATAACTTTGCAACATTATAACAAATAGGTAGTCCTGATGTTTTGTTCTTTTTTTAACATATCAAATATATTTCATTGCTTACATTATAGTAGCAGATTGAAAACATCTGCTCACTTGCCACTAGTCTACCAGCAGCAAAATATCTCAGCTCATTTTCCATGGGCTCGCATGTACTAGGGCTATAGTCCAGCTGCTGAGGCTGGATATGGGGCCAGAGTAATACTCAAGAGCCTTGGAAAGAGAAATGGAAATAGTACTTCATGCCAAAGATTAGAACAATGATAGAGTCCATTTGCTTGTCCCTTTCTCTCTCTCTTCTTATTCATCATGATCCCCAAGCCCTTAACTTCCTTCCACTACCCCTTCTCTTCCTCTCTTTACAGCCCCGTCACCTGTCATGACGATTAAGAAAGATCGGACATCCAGAAACAGTATCTCTTTATCCTGGCAGGAACCTGAACACCCAAATGGGATCATATTGGACTACGAGGTCAAATACTATGAAAAGGTGGGGGAACTTTATTACAGGGTTGGATGGTGCAGGGGAAGAGGCTATGTTTTCATGAACTGAGCTCTTGCACAGAAATCAATGACATTGCTAGTAAGTGGTGGGATTCTTGTTTCAAATTCTGGTCATGTGTCTCCTTGATTTATAGGTAGAGGGTTTCTTCAGAAATCATCTTGTCGATTGCCTTCCCATCGACAACAATAAGAACTATCAAAGATGTCACTACCAAACTTAAAACAGTTAGTTATAGCAATAGATAGATGTTTATTTTCTCTCACACCATGACGTTTATCTACCAATGACGTTATAGTGAGTCCTTGGTCTATTAATGTCTACACCTTAGTCCACTGTCTCAAGCATCCTTTCCTGATCTTCACATTCATGTGAGTTTTGTTCAGTACAGGTAAAAACATTGCACTAATAACAAAACAGTTACTGAACTATGAAAAGCTTTCTTTGTTCTGTAGAAGGACATTTAGAAGATGAGGGCCACATCATAAAATTGTCATATAGTTGGGACCAGCAGATGGCATAGCAGTTATGTCACTGGACTCCTACATGGTTGACTATGGTTTGAGTCCTGGACCCGGTGGCTTGAAAATCACACCAGGTGTGTGTGTGTGTGCGCACCCAAGATCTCTGGAGGAGAAGGGATTGTGGTGTGGCCATCCCCCTTGAGGTGGGTGATATCTCACTTTCCTTCTCAATGCATCTGTCTCTCTCCAGTGAGCACACATGTCCTAAGGCAAAAACGTCAAAAAAAATTGTGGTATACTAATGTGATAATTAAAAATAGATACACGGTTATGTATGCTAGAACTTAAGCAGAGATATTCCACCACTCTAAATAACACTTATTTCTACCTGGTTATAAATTATAAGATTTGAAAGCAAATGTATGTAAGCTTTAACATCAGAAATGGCTGGTTTTATAGCTAACTACTAATGTGAACATAACATGTTTGTATATTTGTATACTGCTACAGTTTACAAAGCCTTTTAAAGTGAATTAAAAGCAAATTGTGCATTTATATAGCAGTTTAAATTTACAGAACAATTCTGCATACAGGATTTAAATTTAAGTAGTACGATACTCTTAAGAAAGTAAGCAAATAGATTCTTTTACAAATAAAAGACACATGAGTCAATAACCTTGGATGGATTTCCTACTGTCTCTGCTTTGAATGTCGTGACCCACGATTCCTCATGTAGTATGTGTTTTCCTATATCATACACCTTCTTTGATATAAGAATGGATTATCACAGGTGTGAAGATTTTTGGTATGATCGGTTATACAAAGGGCATTATGTATGAACATTGTTCGCATTATGCAATTATTTTATGTGACAAATATGTTGCCTCTTTTTCATCTTTTAAAAAATGTCTCTATTGCATTTAGAGTGAAATAATTGACAGAGTTTTCTATCTCATGTCTGCTCTATCTCATAATCTAAAAGAAATGTCTTTGAGTGGTTGACTATTTATCATTTGATGGCATTATGATGATTTAATATTAACATGTATTTTTTTTTCTTACCTCAAAGCAGGAACAAGAGACAAGTTATACCATTCTGAGGGCAAGAGGCACAAATGTTACCATCAGTAGCCTCAAGCCTGACACTACATATGTATTCCAAATTCGAGCCCGAACAGCAGCAGGATATGGGACCAACAGCCGCAAGTTTGAGTTCGAAACTAGCCCAGACTGTATGTGTCATTTCAATTTAGTATATGGGGGAGGCCTGTTGCAAATGGTGTTCAATAATTTATTATCACTCTCTCTGAGTCTTATCCAAATGTAATACATTGAAAGTATAATGCTTGGGCATATAGCAATTTGCCTAGCATTGTGTCCACATATTTATGTTCTTGTGGATGTACATTTTTTTATCTCTTTTACAAATCAAACATATTCCATGACTAGAATGCTTCTGGTTTTATATTGGCCATTTGAGGATTATTGTTTAATATGAGAAAATACTTCCAGTGCCTGTCAATCCCAGTAGTCCAAGTGCATTGCATGATTCAATGAACTACAAAAATGAAATTTGCTGATCCATGAGGATATTAATTTGTTTCAGTCCCTAACATAGTCAGTCATGTATCACTTGGAGAATAAAGATTTTCTAAAGTATATTTTATTGCTTCATTCACGTTCATAAACAATTTGGATAGCCTATCTGCTTGACTCCAAATTTGGCTAAAATAGTTCTACAATGGGCAAACATTTTTATAACTTCTTTTTCTCAAATGCATTTGTTTAATATTTTAAAAGTACTTTGTTATTTTTTTTAAAAAAAGTTACAATGACTATGGTATTGATATAAATTGAACATAAGTTAAAGATTTTATTGAACTCAATAGTTAAGAAGGAGACTGTAAAGAGGTTAGAGCTGATGGAAAAGGAAATTTAAACAGCAGATATGAACACACACATATGCATATGTATATGGGTGTGTGTATTTTGATAATCAGTAACACTTAAATTTGCTAATCGGTTCAAAACTGGTAAATATACTATAGACGATTAGTTTAATGATTGGGATTATCTTTCCTACAGGGAATAAATCAGTTATATCGCTAGTGAATAAGTGTCATTTTAACTATAATGTGGAAAATCATATATATCATTATCGGTTTGCTGCAACTTAAATTTAGTCATAAAAGATCTAGGAAGACAATGATGCACACACTTTTTAATTATATTATTTACAATATGACAATACCTAGCAGTCTAATAGGGAACCCAGTCATAGTCTGCCCTTATCCGTGGTTTCACTCTCCTAAGTTTCAGTTATTTGTGTTCAACCATGGATCAAAAATATGAGTAAGGTACAATGAGATATGTTGAGAGAGAGAAATAGAGAGTGACTATATTCATATAACTTTTTTTGCAGTGCATTGTTATAATTATCTTATTAGCTATTGTTAACCTCTTCTTATGCCTAATTTATAAATTAAATTTTATTAGTACTATGTAAAGAGTATAAAAATATATGTATATGCACACCAAAAAATATTATATAAGACTCAGCACTATCGGCTGTTTAAGGCATCCACCCAGGATTTTGGAACTTACTCCCTGAGGATGGGAAGAGTCATTGCTATTTCTCCGTAGTACCCACAGATTTTATTCCTATAACAGAAAATCACATTGTTATTCATATCATAATATATTTGTGCTCTAATTTCATACCTAATAGAAACAATAGGGGATTGACCAAGAAAATTATGAACACTGTTTAATATGATAGAGTAAATCATTTCTAGCACTCTTTTTATCAGACAATGGAGAATGTTTCTTATATTAAACCTGCATATTCTGCAAGATATTGAGTTTCCGATGTTTTTAGAAGTCATGAGTTAATTATTGAACCATGACAATTCTTCTCAAAGGAGAGCAGCCAACCTTAAACACATAAATCTACTCTTATAGGACTCTCCTAATCCTCCTAGAGTGAAATGAGCATGAAGAAACCACTCTCAAAGGATATGAGAAACAGAATGGTAAAATTCTATGAAAATCCGTAGAACAAAATTTAAATTAAAAATCTTAGATGACTCAGTAGTAAAATATAATTGCAACTTAATAGTCTTAAGTCTTTCAGCAACTTTTAAGTCATCCAAAGAAAGTTTCTCCTTTCAAAATGGTTATAAACTGACCTTTTCTTCAAACATTTAAATGGATATTTGCATTAACAGTAACAGCAAAATTGATATTTGATTTACCAGTAAAGATTCCAAATCACAAAAGTAGAAAAAGCAAACATTTATGATATCTTGGGTAGAAATCACTATATTTAGAAAAGACAGAGTCAAATCATAATTAGAAAAACAATTATTTTGTTAATGCATATTTCAGAAGATCCATCTAATCCCACTTGATGTTCATCAGTACTTAACCCAACTGATAAGTAAATATGCAAATATGACAAGTTCCAAAATTCTTATGCAATGCTGCATTTACCACAGATATTACTGTTGTAGTATTTATGCATAAACTTCTAATGAGATTCTAGTGTGTAAGGTTTATGAAGCAAGTTGTAGAACCAGGAGGTGGTATGGTGATTAAGGCTCTAAACTCCCACATAGCTGACCATGGTTTGAGTGCTGGACTGGGTGGCTTTCTTTTTCTTTTTGTCTAGTGAATGTATGTCCCATCTAGCAAATTAAGAAAAAATACATAAATAAGAAACATGCAATAAAAACTACAGAATCTTGGGAATTTTGCCCTATAAATTTTAAACTTTTAATATCTATTTTTGATTAAGAGAGAGGAGAGGTAAACAGGATGGAAAGAAAAGTATAAACATTTTCTCTTTCACCGCTCCATTAAAACAATGCAAAACGAACAAAAAATTCTGAGTTATATAGTTTGAGTTTTTAACAAATCAATTTATTCTTGCTACTTAACCATAGAATTCTTCCAGAGTTTAAAATATAAGAGGGTCAGCCCCATCTTGCAGTGGTTAAGTGCTGTGTATAGAAAACTAGATCCCAAATGGCTGACTGCTGCTTGAATCTCAGCCATGCCAAGTTGAAAAATAGGCCAGGCATGTGTGCATGTGTGCCAAAAATCCTGATGGCATGAGGAATGGAGGGAAAAGTATTGTTGTGTGGTTATGCCCCATTTGGAGAGGGAGGGTGCTTTCTCTCTCAAGTCAACTCATGCAACCTCTAACAATTATCATACATATATAAAACTCAACCATCACTCTACTTTTTAAAATCAAAAGATCTTCATAAAAATTCAAAGACTTGAAAAGTTTGCTTTTATTCTTCTATTTTTTTAATTACATGATGTTTTCTTTCATAACATAAATAAGTATTTCTAAATAAGTCACAGTATATTTTGAGCTAGAATTTAGATAACATTATTCTGATCTCAGTTTGGATAAAAGATGCCAAAGTGCAGTGGAGTGCATGTTTTCCTAAGTGCTTTAAAATACCTGAATTTTGCATGTCAGCACTTTGTACTTGCTATAATCCTCTTTTTCCAGATAGGGAAACTGAAGCCTAAAGAGATTCCATAAGCTTCCCAGTCACACAACTCGATGGCAATGTATAAGATTCTGAAACCCATGTGCTTGTGTGATAGCATGTGAGACATCTGTATAAATATTTCATTTGCTATCATACAAGCACATGGGTTTCAGAATTCTCCCCCCACCAAAAAAAAAAAAAAAAAAGCTAACCTAAGACTAAAGACCCACTAAAAGCATAGAGTGCTGAAGAGAAGATTTTCAAGCAGTGAAGGACGTTTCTATAATGTAAGAAGTACAAGCAATATGGCTTGTTAGGAAAGCAGACATTTCAATGGTCTGAAAACCTCCAGAGACCAGAAACTGAGTCCACAGTCCATGGTGGGAGATTTGTGCCCAGGAAAACCAGTAATAATGTAAAGAACAATGACTTTAGAGCAGATTTGGCATTTGTTTGGTTGACTGCAGTGAGTCACTTCAATACTCCATGCCTACCTGGAAATCAGGATGATTGTGCACATCACTCAGTAGGATTTTTATATTAACAAAATTCATTATAATCTGTAAAGTGCTTGAAATTTTACAAATTTTTTACCAGCAAAATGATGTAATAAAAATACGTAACTTAGCATCTGTTTAACGCTGTTGTAAATATTTGATTTGTGTCTTTTAATCCTCAGACAACTAAATTATGTCACGTAGCACATAAATATGAATCCAGACATTCTGTCTTCCAAAATGGGCTCCTAACCCCTCTACTGTAGGGAGAGACAGTAGTGTATGGAGGTCAATCAAAGGAGGAGGTGACTAGAAACAAGGGAAGTGGTTCGCTTGTGGGAAAACAGATGCAAACTGAATTTCTAAGAAATGTAATAGCAATTAACATTTAGCATTATTACATTAAATTATTAGGCAACTACATGACCCATTTACATTACTCATTCAACTGTTTGCTAATTTCAGCAATATAAGTGATCTGATTGGGTTATGTCCTTTAGAAAGACTCTAGGGTTCATGCATACTCAGTGCTAGAGGAAACCATAGCGAAATTCTAGTTTAACGCCGTATTGTTAGAGAAACAATTTTTTTTCCTTCTATCATATTTCCCTTCTCAGTTTTACTGAGCTTTTTAAAATATATACATTAGCCTGTCAAAATAACCAGAGTATTCAGAATTTGCCAATCTATATAAATTAATACACTATTTAAAATGAAAAGCATGAATTAGAGTTATCGATAGAGTCAGCCTTCCTTATCTGTTGGTTTCATATCCACCGATTCCATCAATGACAGCTCGAAGGTATTCGAGATAACAAAACCAAGATAACAAAACAATAATTTAAAAATACAAATTTACAAGCACTACAATATGACAAGTATTTACAGAATAATAACATTATAGTAGTTTTTTGTTGTTTCTGTTTTATAAATTGGATATTGGGTGTTTTGCTCACGAGAGAGAGAAATTAAGAAAGTATTTCCCCAGAGGAGATGATTATACTATCATCCCTTCTCCCTCATTCTCCTCTCTGGATTTTAGTCATGCACAAACATGTACCTGGCATATTTTTCAAGCCACTGGGTCCAGGACTAGAACTGCAGAGTTGGCCGTGTAGGATCCGGCTGCCTTAACCATTACACCACATGGCTGGCCCTGTATTAGGTACTGTGAATAATCTAGAGATTATTTAAGGATATGGATATGTGTGAGAAAGGATATGTGTAGATTATATGCAAGCACTGCTATTTTTATGAGACTTGAGCATCCACACATCTTGGTATCAGCGAAGAGAGAGGTGCTCTGAAACCAATGCCCTACAGATATCAAGTCTAGCTTTGTGAATCATTTTTGAAGCAATGGGCTAAGGTATTTTATAATCAATTCATAGACTTATAG